ACATAGAAAACGATTGGGCGGAGCTAGCAGTGACAGCTAGCTCCGCCCAACTGTTTTCTATTGGCCGGCGCCTCTGCTAGAGGGGACCTGATGGAGAACTTCAGGTCCCCTCTGCTGATTGACAGCAGCAGTGGGCGGGTGCAATAGCTAGTTTGCTATTGGCTATTGCAAATTGAAATAGCCAATAGGAATCTAGCTATGCATTCCTATGGTGATTTTTTTAATCTATTATTTTTATTCTGACGGCAGCCAACGGCCCCAATGTCAGAAAAAAAAAAGAAACCGAGCAGGGAAAGGTTTACTCTGCTCGAGCAAGCAGAGTAAGCCTTTCTGGGAGAAAGTGTTTCTCTCCGGGGGGGTCAGGAGCCGCTATCTAAAAGCGGGAGACTCCCGGAGCGTCTGGGAGAGTTGGGCTGTCTGGAGAAAAGTGTCCCTGGTTACCTGGTTACCAGGCACTCTGATCTGTCTGTGCAAGTGGCCTGAGCCAGCCGTGAAATGACGGCTGGCTCCGCCCAGCTGTCAGAAGTAAGCTTGTCGGCCGGCCAATGGATCATGGATTAGCCGAAGCAGCTTCGGCAGCTTCGTGAATAGACCCCTAAGTGTGCAACGTGTACATTTTTTATATTTTAAAATAGCACCAGATCAACTGTCTCTTCAGTAAGTCAATGTGGTGCTTACTGACCATCATTTTCCACAGTTAAGGGATTCCTTGAGGAAATAATGAAAAAAGTGAAATAAATGAGGCTTATTTCCACTCTAGAAAATGTCCAAGATCCTGGGCTGTATATAATCCATCTGGCATCATATTTGATGAAATGAAAAAAAGGCTTACTCAGTTACCAGAAGTTCACAGTTATCGCACATATATTAAAACACAGTTTTACTGTATCAAAGAGCTAAAAAATACAGAGCAATGTAAACCCTACTGCATATAAAATATTCAATATATTTAGTAGAGTAAACTGTTCCATCTGTTGTGGGCATTATATTCATATATATTTGTTTAAATCACACTATTGTGCGGTCTGGTTAAATTAGTACATAGTAGTATAGCTATCTAGTAAATTTCTCTTCATAGTTTGTTGCCATTTTCTTTGTACATTACATACATTTATTTTCCTCTAGGTAAACCCATATTTCTTTCTCTGCCCCACTTCTTGCATGGAAGCGACTTCCTGGTGGAACAAGTGACTGGTCTAAGTCCTAGTAAAGAAGAACATGAAACTTATGTGGATGTTGAGCCTGTGAGTAAATCAAACAAAATCCTGCATTCCAGTACAGGAGTTCTTGTTATACATGAGTTTATTGTACCCTAGTTATAAACAACACTATATGCCAGATGGGTCATTTTAATTAAACTGAATGGCTTGGAATAACACAAATTGGGACTCTCTGGAATGTAAGGAGCAGTGGTGATATGCATACCTCCCAGGTATCCAAGATGAAAAAAAGGGACACATTCAAGTATAATGTATTCAGGCAATGGACATCCGCCTGCCACACCCCCACTTATACAGACCATTTAGAATTTATATGCCAATAATAATTGGTTAAACCCAGAGTTTTCATTTTTTTCACTATTACTTTTCCTTTATACTAACTTTTCAAAACAGTAAACAAGATAATTATAAGATAAGATAAAGGTTTTCATGCGGAATAACATTTTGGTAGTTAAAGGTACCTTTTCATGTATACTTGTACATCAGACCAAAAAGAGGGACAACTGAGGAGTTAAGAGGGACAGAGGGATTTGGTTCCAAATGAGGGACACTTGTGGGTACTTGTAGTTCCCTGGGTAATATTTTTGGGGGGTGTAGAGGGACAATGAGGGTATGCTAGGACTTGTAGTTCAATTACGATATCTCCCAGCATGCTGTCATTTTACCTGTACACCCCCACATATTACAGCGGGGGGGCGCAACATTTCGTTCTGCCCCGGGCGCCTGTTACTCTGGTTACGCCACTGGACCTGTATTTTAGACCTGTGCAAGCATCCTCATTGCGATCTGTCCTGTATTGATTAGTGTATGGCAACTCCTATCATTCACTTCTGTATCCTGTCAGTTGGGTTTGAATTACATGTGCCAATTATAGGAATTTATATTATTTTTCCTTAAAAAATTGTTCCTGATTATGCAAAACTTAAAATACATGTTTACTACCAGAGTAGAACTCTGCATATACTAAGATCCATTGTATTTGAGATTTTAAACTAAACCTTTCATGACCAAGTATGCAGGTCAGGAGTTCTGGCTGCACATTTGGCAGGCAAGAACAACAATATTTTACATAACAAGCAACAGTAACAAAGTATTGATATTTTATAGTCTTATTTCTGTGCTGATATGCTAGTTTCATGCTGTTAATATGTTTCTTTTTAGATAACTGGCTTTACAATGCATTTTGCTAAAAGATTACAGGTCAATGTAATGTTTCAGCCAACAGACAAAATAGAGTGAGTATGCAATAACCCATAATTGATCATTCTCACCAGCAATAGTCCTGTCCTTTGCTCCAGTGGTGGTCTGCATAAATATAGTAAAATTATTTGTAGATCAGAAAATTGGGTAGGCCCCTATTAACCCCTTTGTGACGGGAGACGTACACTGTATGTCCCGCCACAAAGTGCCTATATGACTGGCCACGTACACTGTACGTGACAAGTTATTTAAGGCTCTGTAATGCCGGTAACTGCTGATTCTCAGCGGTTACCAGTCATTAATGAATGTCTCAGTATTGAGGCATTCATTAATGAAATAGTTAAGCTTTTGTAAAAGCTTCTTTCTTTCATTAATGAAAGAATGAAGCCGTTACATGCAGATATGGGAGCGCTAAATAGCAATCCCGTATTTAACAGCTGAAAATAGCAGAGAGGTAGCAGTGACTCACCTCTCTGCTATTCGTTTTGACAGCTCGATAGCCCGATGTTTATGATACATTTCAGGCACAGAGATACAAGAGATACAACGTATCTCTTTGCCTGAAATTTATCACTTCTGATCGTCTAGGCATGATCAAAGACCTTTCGTGAGATCTGAATATGACATGCTGTCAGGATCAGTCTCTAAGGATCAGTCTCTAAGGGGTCTATTCACAAAGCTGAATAGACCCCTACTTTACTATTGGCTATTGCAATTTGAAATAGCCAATAGTAATGTCCCAATGCTTTTCAATGGGAAAATGTATTTTATTTTTTTTTATTTTCTGACATCGCTCGTGTCAGAATAAAGAAAAAAAGACACATCAGTGCTCCTCTCCTGGGCGGCTGGGTGCGGGAGGCTCCCAGAGCGCCCGGGAGAGTTTTTTACAGCAGCAGAGCCGCCGATCAATAGGAAACTATTGGGCGGAGCTAGCTGTCACTGCTAGCTCCGCACAATCGTTTTCTATTTACTTTATCGGCTGCCCTTGGCAGCTTAGTGAATAGACCCCTAAGGTTATTATTAGTTGTTCCTAAGTTTGGAGCAGCCTAATAATAGCCCAAAATGTAAAAAGTTAATTTATCAACCAGTCATAGTGACTGGTTGATATAAACTGACAAAAAAAAAGTTTTTACTTTTTTTTTACAAAGTGTAAAAAAAAAAGAAAAATAAAGTGTAAAAAAATTAGGAAAAAAAAATTATATATAAAAGTGAATAGCTGAATGCCGCTGAGCGGCATTCGGCTCGGCTGTTCTGCTCGGTCGCTCAGAGGGACAGAGCAGAACATAAAAACAGTTTAAAAAGTTTAAAAAAAAGAAAACGATTGTGCGGAGCTAGCAATGACAGCTAGCTCCGCCCAATAGTTTTCTTTTGGCCGGCAAGGAGAGAAGCAGACTTTTCTTTTTTTTCTTTATTCTGAAACGGAGCGGTGTCAGAATAGAAAAAAATAAATAATAATTGGCCCACAGGACTGCATTGCTAGATTCCTATTGGCTATTTCAATTTGCAATAGCCAATAGTAAACTAGCATTGCACCCTCCCTCTGCTGATGGACCTGATGGAGAACTGCAGCTATTTTCTTTTTTTTTCTATTCCGATACGGCTCCGTGTCAGAATAAAGAAAAAAAAAAGAAAAATCAGTGTTTCTCTCCTGGGCAGCCGGGAGTGGGAGACTCCCAGCGCGCCCGGGAGAGTTTGCTGTCTGGAGATCAGTGTCCCTGGTTAGCTGGTAACCAGGGACGCTGATCTCTCTGCAAGTGACCGGAGCCAGCCGTAAGATCACGGCTGGCTTGCCCAGCTGTCAGAAGCAGGCTGTCGGCCGGCTTTCAGCGCGGCTCAGCCGAGCCGAGGCATATGCGTTCGGCTCGACTGAGCTGCTCGGCAATGTTCGGGAGCTGTACGGGCTATGGTGAATAGCCCGTACAGCAGCCCTTCGGTTCTACTGAACCGAAGGGGTCCTGGGGCCGTAGCTAGCCAAAGGATCGGCCAAAGCTACGGCTAGATCCTTCGGCTGCTTCGTGAATAGACCCCATAATATGTGTGGGTACATTTAGTAAGAAAGTATATTACTGCTATGGAAAAATAACACAGCAAAAATTTAAAAAGTGTGTCAGTCATTTATTAACAGAAACTGAAAACTAGCTCAGTCATGAAGGAGTTCAATCATAGAGGCAGTTTTTTTTCCAGATGCTCACATATAGGAGGATACATTCAAACATCTTTCCAAGAGCACTGTAGAATCAATTAAAACAATCAATTTTTTGCACATAAATTCGTTTTATTGTGTAACATTGTATTGGAGTGAGCGAAGTTATGTGGCCAATTTAGTTCTACTTTAAAAAGTAATTTGTTAAAAAGAATAAAGAAACAACTTTTTTTGGTGCAGTACTTTATAAATAAATGAGATATCATGAAGCCTATCTGTGTTTGGATTTATATTACAATGTAATACACTCCTGGCATAGCATATTCTGAATATATGCAGTGAACGCCGAGGTTTTTCTGTGCCTGTTGATTGCACACTACTGATGTTTAAATGTTGGCCCTTAATGAGTCACTGATGCCACGACAGTGCAGATGCAGAATGACTAACGGCCTCAGCCATTCAGAATGTGCCTGCACCGCTGAATGACTCATTCAGGCCCAAGAACAATAGTGTGCGTCTGCACACTATTCATGTTGGCAGACGCAAAATGTGCTCATCTCACCTCATAGAAACATAACCAGGTGTATGGCCATATGAGTTCAGATACAGTATGGACAAGCAAGATCCTGTGTAAAATCAATATAGCCATATGATGAGGCCTTATCTTTTCTTCACTACTTGATAAATCATTAACTCGTTATAAAGAAGTACATGCTAAGTGCAGGGATGTCAGGTCTGGAGCTAACATATCCCAACAAGCCAATAGAGAGCCAATACTGATTTTTCCAACTTTAACACAGATACACTATTTGCTGAACATCATTAGTAGCTGACTGATTGTTTTCACTTATTGCCAGAAATACCTCTTTAAAGTGGACCTTTACCCCCTTTTGCTAATAGCCACATCAGCATGCAGCTCTGTATGCTGATATGAAACCATCTTACATTCATTAGTTAAATAAACATATTTTGCTTTTATTTACAATTACTGTTTTTACACTTTTTGGTCCTCTTAGGCATTAGTGATGTAGCCATGCCTAAGACATGCATCTTGGGAAAGTTACATCACAGTGCATTACTGGGTAATCTCATCTGTAAACTGCATAATCTCATGAGATTTCAGGGTAAGGCATTTTTTTTCCTCTGAGATGATGTGCATGGTCACATGTGCCAGAATTCCAGGAAGTAAAGGGAGATGAATGAATCTGCCCTTAGTAAAAATGGCCATTGTGAGAAAAATGGGGAGGAAAGGAAAATAGGTATGCAAAGATACAAAGCCGGCAATTATCTAGAAGTATGTGTTTGTAGATTGCCATTAGTAAATATTTCTAAAGGTGTGTTTGTTGTTATTTCAAAGCTATGGGTAAAGTTCCTCTTTAAGGCTTACCATTCAGTGAAGTTTTCAGAATGCTGATTATAATTAATATATATGTAAGCATATGCATATAATATTAAGTTATGAGTAATGCAAGTTGTATTTACTTCTTTTTGAATTTCACATTTCAGAATTTTGGCTAAACTAAAGTCAGAATTTGTGTTCCCTGTGCTGTGGCTGAATGAAGTAAGTTAATACTAATATACATGTTTTTATGTGTTTATGTAGTTTCTATTAATAATGTTATTTAGACAAAAAATATGTGTCTATTTCTATACATTTGAAGGGATAAAACAGCTACCTGCGGTAAGCAAACGTGACATCTATTGTCAGTACAGTTTTCATTGTACACAAATACACTGATATTCACCTGCACAGTCATGTGTTCTTGGTTAATGTACAATCGTGAATCCAAATATACTTACTGTATATCCAATAAGCAAGTTGTATAGTGGTTTTGAAAATATTTTTTATGGACATGGCAAGAACAATATAATAATAATGATGATAATAATAATAATAATAATAGAACTATTAATAATAACATTATTTGTAACAGCAAAAGTTAGTTAAATCCCCAATAATAATATTCTGAAGTATCCTTTCTACAGAAGCATGTTGAATGAACATGTTGAAAAAAAAGCCTTTTGCTAATAGACTCCATAGCTCAAGTGGATGGCTTGTTTAATGTGATTTACTCCTTAGTGAATGGCTTAGTTGAAACTTTCATTCAGACAAATAGAGCCACAAGGCAGGCAGTGTCTGCTATGTTGTCTTTTAGCATATGGCTTTTATGCCACATACATTGTCCAGATGTTCATGACCCCTTATGGCCTCGGATGACAGCTATATGTTACCTAATAGTTTTGGAAAAACACTTTTGCAGGCAAGTTAATAACATAATTTCTGTTACCGTAAGTAGAAATCATCAATCCAGCACTTTGGCCTTGTCCTGGAATTAAAGGCCTCGTCCTCATTATCTGTGTTAAGCTGCATTTACACAGATCAATGCATGCTCAACTATAGGGTACAAAGAAAACAATTGTTCTCTGTATGCCCTGTCAAAACATGGTGCTCTGCATCAAATGGCAAACATCCTGGGGGGAATTTATCAAAGCACTTGTGACAGTTTTAGCCTCTTAGATAATTTTTTTTAATGTGCAAATCTGTCTTTCAGCATATCAGCATATTCAGCATAGAGCTTGCACTACTTTTCCAACTGCACGAGTTTTGCACCTGTTTTCTTCAGAGCTTGCTCTACTTTTCCAACTGCACGTGTTTTGCACCTGTTTTCTTCAGAGCTTGCACTACTTTTTCAGTTTCTTGTTTTTTGCACCTTTTTTGCACATGTTTTCATCTGCACTTGTTCTGGGCTGTCTGAAACTGGAGCATCACCTAAGAAAACAATCACAACTTAAGAAGACCCCATGACCACTTTTTCAAGATGCGATGGTTAAGCTTTTTGCCTGAAGTTACAAGTCTTCTTTCCTGGAGTCTATTAAGCCTCATTGATCAACAACATTACACTAGCTTGATAAATCTGGTGCAAATATATTCCATGCAAGTTCAAACACTTGCTATTGCTATGATAAATTCCCCCCACTGTATTTTTACACAGCACAATTCACCTCAATACATTGTTGCAGTGTACAGTGGTGCAAAGATTTGAATGCAATGTCATGTTGTGACAGTTCAATAAAGTTAAAACAAAGAAGAAAAACAATGCATCACATTGACCCTAACCCATGGACACCAGCTTACAGTGTTTTGGCGTGCGGGCTGGACAAGCCCTTAGTTGTTTTATTCAATTATACCAATTGCACGGGCAATAGTTGCAGTGCATTTCTTTTTTCAGTTTGATTTACTATACTTGACTGCTTTAAATAAAGGATTTATTATTATTATTATTATTGTTATTCTAACAAAATAGTTACAACTACTAATATTTTGCTTTGTTTCATTTAGACTGCTCTTATTGGTGATGACTCAGTAAACCAATTCAAATCAAGTGTGACTGTGCCTTTGAAGGTGCTAGAAGTTTTGCGGATAGTACTAATATGTCTTGGTGTTGTTGTATTCTTGGCCTGCTCCATAACACTTTGTGTTAAAAAGAAGTAAGAATACAAAATGAATGCAAAGTTATGCATCTATTCTAAATGTCTCTACCATTTATTTTTGTTCATTCATTTAATGCTGGACTCTAGACAGACATAAAAACACTGTACTGAATCTTAATTTCAGCCTTGCAATCCACTGCACAGCAGCACGCAGGCTGGGAGAGTGATGGACAACACTCTGAGACAATCAAGGTCTATGGCTTTGCATTGTGTGGTCTGGGATAATGCTTACCAAAGGAGAGAGCAGAGTAATGACTTCATCAGTGTGCTGCTGAGCCTTGTTTTATCACAGGCTGGGACAGTCCTGAACTGGGCTGCATTGGACAACACAAACATGGTCTGAAAAAGGGGTCCATGGTCTGGCTTTGCTGTCTGGCAGGTGTACCTGGACCACATTATTGGCTAAAGAAAATAATTAATCATTGGGAGGGTAAATTAGTTTACCTATAACTAGTACATTTCATTAAAAACTATGCTAATTGTCAGACTACAAATCTTCTGATTTTCCTAAATATATATGTATAGATGTGTCTTGTTTGCAGAGAATCATGCAATTCATAAACCATAATTGCCAAGATTCCAAAACTGTGTGATTCTTCTAATTGTTTTTAATTTCGGCTATGTGTTAAGCACTTTGCCTAGAGTTCAGCTTTGAAGTGTATGTAAACCCAAAATCTATTTTCCAGTATGATTGGCATTATGTCTCACATGTCATGCTTGGAGATCATAGTAACAGCTCTTTTGGTTGTAGGCTGACAACACTAAAGTTCGCCATACACTGGTACATTTTCGTATGCGATATCATATGCAAAATCTCATCAGAAGATTCAATAATGACAGCGACTCGACAAATGTCGTTCGAAATTTAAGTTGATTTTAACATTTAGGCTATACAGTACAGGCTACTCGCTGCTGTTCGGTCTATACTTATAGATGCCGAACAGCAGTGAGTGAATAGCCGTATGCCGCTGAGCGGCATGCGGCTCGGCTGTTCTGCTCGGTCCCTCAGAGGGACAGAGCAGAACAGAAAAATAGTTAAAAAAGTACAAAAAAATAAATAGAAAACAATTGTGCAGAGCTAGCTAGTTTTCTTTTGGCCGGAGGTTCTGCTGCCGTCAAAAAAAAAAAGAAAAACTCTCCCGGGTGCTCTGGAAGTCCCCCGCTCCGGCCGCCCAGGAGAGAAACACTGCTTTTTCTTTCGGAGCCGTGTCAGAATAGGAAAAAAAAATAAAACATTTTGCCCATTGGAATGCATTGCTAGATTCCTATTGGCTATTCCAATTTGCAATAGCCAATAGTAAACTAGCATTGCACCTGCCCTCTGCTGATGGACCTGATGGAGAACTGCAGCGGAGGGCGGGTACACTGCTAGTTTACTATTGGCTATTGCAAATTGAAATAGCCGGCCGCTCGGCCAGCTTCGGCTTACAGCGCGGCTCAGCTGAGCCGAGGCATATGCGTTCGGCTCGACTGAGCCGCTCGGCTAAGTTCGGGAGCTGTACGGGCTATTGTGAATAGCATGGAACGACACATAAATGCGCGTAAATGCGTGTAATTTAATGCATCTGGGAGCATAAACCATCAAGCCTGGCAAATTTTCTGCATATAGAGCACAAAAACGCAAGTGACAAAGTGGGAATGAAGGGTTAATTTTGGAATGAATGGAGTGTCCAAATAAAAAACACATTCACTGTTAGTATTTAGCTTATTTGAGAAAACTTTTTCATCCTGCTCCTTCGATGTCACTACAGTTGAAATCAATTGTCAATTTGACCCTATTAACTATTAGAAAAATCGAACAAACGCTTTGAAAACAAATGTTTTCAAACGAAATTCCGCTGGTATATAGCCAGCTTAAGCCACTAGCTCACAACTAGCAGGAGTGTTGCCAGCCTACTGTGTATGCTCTTTTAATTGGCCCTTGCATTGATTGGACTTGCTAATTGCCCATACACCCATACACCTTGCGATCATCGGATGACACTTTTCGTCCGATGACCGAACCGTCATACTATTTTAATACAGCGGCCCCATCCTCCCCCGATTATCGCAAGGGTGGATCAGCAGTAATTAGAAGAAAGCACCTAGACGAATTGCGGTAATCGACCGCACGTATTTTCGTCTGCGCATGTGTAGTGTAGATCGTACAAATTTTGACGTACGGAAACGCCACCAACCTTGCAAAAATCGTAATATCGACCAAAGTTTTTTAACCTGCTGGTTAGTCAAAAGTCGATCGATTGTACAGTATTTTCGGTTGTACACTGCCCATCAACCGTACGAATATCAGACGAAAACGCGTTTGCATACGAAAATCGGCCGATATTCGTAAGGTGTATGGGCACCTTTACTTGCATGCAGGATCTTCTGGTAAGAAACTTAGCAACAGATTCACAAAAATGATTTGCTTAAAAAAACTGTATGCTGTGAGGCACGATGCCAAACATAATAAAAATACATATACTTTAAGTTGTTCAACACCACTGCTAGTTTAATTGCCCAACTAATTGTTTGCATTTATTTTTTTTTTAGGAGATGAGTGCCATTCTGGATGCAAACTGACTTTCTGAAAAATACTGTGAAGATACAATTATTGATAAAGATAACCATGATTTGTTTAAACCTAAACCACTACATCGATACTCAAAAAGTCTATTGCAGCATTATTAATCCTTAGTTATAGGCAGTGATTTTACCTTATCACTGATCAGAAAATAAAATACTTTACAAAACATATTGGAAAAAAAAGTTCTATAGTAATGTAGTCATGTACATTGTACTGTAAATTCATGTGTTATATGATTACATATGTATAGTGGGGCTTCATGCTCTGTATCATTGAATGCTTAGGCAAGACATTAGATCAGGAGTAGGCAACCTTGGCAGATACAAATTCCATCATGCCTCAGCCCGTGGCTGCCAGGGCTTTGCCATGCCTGATGAGACTTGTAGTTCCACAACAACTAAAGTACCAAGGTTGCCTACCCCTGTATTAGATGTTCAGTATGTGTGTGTACTAACACAGCCTATTGCAGACTAGAAATTAGGTAACCACTTTACGTAAGTCAGTTGCACAGCCTATTCCCTCAGTGTTACTCCTCAGTGCAAAACTCTCTCAGAAAAAAACTGTTGGGTAAATTGAAACTTCATATGTGCCTGTTGGCCAGCGACAATGTTTGGTGTTTCCTGGATCTGATATCTGTGGGTAGCTTTTTTCCAGCAGTTTTATTTTTTATTTTTATTAATCTGTAGCAGCCAAATGAGCAATGTTCTTTGATTGGTCATATTCACTGTAGACTAATGAAAACAAATGAATGACTGGTTGCAACCTTATATTTGTACATTGTTGGAGAATCAGCCACATTAGAGGCATAAACATGTCTAATAAGCTATATACAGTATATTCACATCCGTTGATTATTGTAGAGTCAAAAACTGTAACCTTAACAAATAACTATGCTTTAAAGAGAACTTGTCAGCTATTTTTCACTTTTAATTGTAAGAGCATTGTCTAAGAGCGAAGCACTAAAAAGGTGCCTGCTAATGTTTGTATTAGCCAAAACACCTTCTATGTGTACCAGTTTCACTTATATACAATATATGCCAGTTTCATTTTGTTAGTAGGGATTGACTACCAACCTGACAGCCATTTGTCCAATAACAACACTCATACTGACACCTGAGGCACTCTCAGGGATTGATGGTGAGCTGAACTTTTTTTTATTAAAGTCAGGTCATTCAAGCCATTAGTAAGAAAGTTACCATAAATCAGAGTCTGAGATGGGCACAGAAGAGGCTTTTTCTGCTAGCAAAGGTAAACGGCACATTGTAGTTTGGTACTCACATCTTTTAAAAGCTTAGATTGGCTGACAGGTAAACTTGTTGCATAAAGGATTGTACCAAACAACAGAATCCTGGTTATATCTACTATTTACTTTAACAGAGAACATTGTGTTGACTTGAGAATGAGTACAACACCAATATTTCTATATAGGTTTATGTTTCATATAATACAATTTAATCTGTTATCATTTAGAACTTAAATACTGATTTGCAAAATCAGGTTGTAACATAGATGTAAATATGTGTCAATTATAAATACATAATTTTGGACCCACCTGGGAATTAATGGCTAAGGGAATGCTATTATTATAAGTGTTAAATGCAGTTAGATTCTGGGATACTATATATAGTTGAGAGGTACAAGCTTCAGTAAAAAATAGGTGCATTTGCTTTAGGCATTGTAGGAATACAGGGAGATAAGTTCTAGTTTGATGTGTAATTGTGTATTTAAATAAGAACAATGATTCTGTTTTCTGCATTTTCACAATACTCTGTGTACCATGTAAACATTTTTACAGTTCAACAAGCAATATAAAAAAAAACTCTCTAGGTAGTACAGAACATCATGTACAAAGCTGATTGGCCCTATCTAGATTCATCAGTACAGTAAGTAATAAGTGGAATTATTAAGTTCCTGGAACTGTTTGACTAGCACTTTAGGCAGACCAGATCAGATATAATAATCCCATATTATTGAATTAGAATAGAGTACTCCTACCAAGCTGCTGAACACATATGGTTTGTTTTAGCATAGAAAGAGATGCTACCAATCTAAACACTGCTAATTATGAACAGAACAGTTAACATTAGGGTAATAAATGAGTGGTGTGTAGAGATCAATGCTCCAAACCATATGATACCCATACAGAATCTAAGTATTGCCATGGATGATCAATTAGAGCAGAGTGCCCAGAGAACATCCTGTCTTATCTGTAGATTTTTCAATATGCTGAAAAGTCTCTCTGTTCATGGATCATGGATCTTCAGAAAAGGTTTAGTATTCTAACATTTATCTGAGAGCAGTCTGGGGGTAATTTTCCCATTTTCGCTTGCTCGGTGTGTGTAAAGATATAGGTAAATCTGACCTGTTATGGTTGTACTAACAAAGTAGGGGTGGATTGGTTGAGTTGCTAACATTCCATAAGGCATTATGG